TTTGGATTAGATTTGAGAAGTACAGTGATTGTAATTCCTGGTGAGGACAAAGGACTGGTTGGAGATTTCTAGGCAGGGGGAGAAGAAGAATGACAACAGATTGTTCTCAGACAAAGGTATTTTAGAGTTCAAGAACAAGTTGTTGTTTTTGTGGTTGTTGTTGTTGTGCTATTCAATTGACTCTGACACTTTCTGACCATAGACCGTACCCTATTAGGCTCTTCTGTCCCTCAACAACTCCCTCATTCTGTCCAAACTCAAATTTGTTGCTTCCATGACAGGATCTATCCATTTCATTGTCTGCCATCCTTTTCTCCTTTTACCTTCAATCCCTCTGAACATCAGGGTACTTTCCACCGAGTCCTGCCTTCTCAGTGCGTTGCATAAGCTAGTTTATGACTTATGGAATATCCATTACAGAGATTATAATGAAAGAGTGAGATATAAACCACTTTGGGCTGAAGGAGAAGGACTTAAGGGAGAGGTCAGTCAAGACAGATTTTGAACAATCACTAGTGGGGGGGGTCAGAATCAATGAAATAGGGAGAGAATGACAGGATGGATTTATTTAAATAATTATTATTTAAATATTTTATAATCCCTGGATTATTTATATTATAATAATATTATAATATTATATATTATAACAAACATAATAAAATATTATAATATATAATATATTAATATAATATAATATATAATAATATAATATAATAATATAATAAATATAACAAAATATTATAATAAATTTATATAATTATAATTATTTATTTAAATAATATCCAGGGATTTAGATAGCTGCTATCATGGTCCCTCCCCCACTCTACCTCCCAGTTTTCTCACCTATTTAAAAGTTAGCAAGACTTCTAAACCTCTTCAGCTGTACATGATGTTTCCTCTTCAACCCAGATGAGAATAAGGTTTCAATATTATCAGCTCTCAACCCCCATCTTCTTCCTCTGTATTAATTCCTCCTTTCATGTCACATTTTCGTGAGGTAATTTTTCTTTTTAAACTTTTCTTACCCAATTTTTTTAGAATCACTTCATCATACACAACTTAGCCACACCTTTTCTTTCAAACTACCTTAGTAATGAAAATAATTTTAAGAGTATTATTCCTAATAATAATTACTAATATCAATAACATTTTCATATATCATAAGTAAACATTTTGACCTTAATCAGTGCCTTATAATTAATTAGTCTTTAGTGATTTCCTTATATTTTTCTGGATTTTTTTATATTGAATTTTCCACTGAGTTCTGGTCTTTTTGTTACAAGCACCTGAAAGTCTTTCAGTTCACCAAATATCCATTTTTTTTCATTCAGGATTATATTCAACTTTTCTGGACAAGTTTTTTTGGATGTGACCCCAGGTCCTCTGATTTTCAAAATATAATGTTCTAAGAACTGCAGTCGTTAAGTGTAGAAGCTGCTAGGTCTTGTGAAATCCTATCGTTTTCTCACAGTATTTATTTATTTTTTTCTTGTAGCTTGCATTATTTTCTCTTTAAACTAGGAATTCTGAAACTTGGATATGACATTCCTGTAAGTTTTCTTCCTAGAATCTCTTTCAGGTGATAATCAGTGTGTTCTTTTTATTTCTACTTTACTTTTTTGTTCTAAAATTCAGGGCAATTTTCCTTAATAATTTCTTGTAATATTATATCCAGATTCTTTTTTTTATCATACCTTTTAGGTAATTCAGCAATTCTTACAATGTCTCCCCTTGAGATCTGTTCTCTAGAACACTTTTTTCCCCTAATGAGATGTTTCATATACTCTTTTATCTTTTCTTGTTTTCATTATGCATTAGCGTCTTATAATGCCATTTGATCCCACTTTCCCAATTCTAGTTTTCAAGGAATTAATTTCTTCCTTAAGATTTTGTATTTCCTTTTCTAATTGGTTTACTTTCTTTTCATAATTTTATTGCTTTTATTTTTTTTTCTATTTTTCCTTATTCTCTCTTATTTGGCTTTTGAATTCCTTTTTAATTTCTTCCAAGATTTTTTTTTTGGGCTTCTGACCAGTTGACATTAATCTATAGAGTAGGAGTGGCTTTTTTTTTTAACCTCACTTCCTCTGAATATGAACTCAGATCTTCTTTTATACCAAAACAACTACCTATGGTCAGGTTCTTTTTCCTTCGCTTAATTTTATTTTAAGTGTCTTATTTTATTTTTAGCAACTTGGTAGTAATATTATTAAGTTTTAATCTTGAGTTGTGGGTAATTGTGACCTACGCCTCAAGTCCTTCTTATTGTTGTTTTCTGAATTTTATCTGGGGGCTCAACCACAGAGACTCCTCTCATCCATCCCTAAGCCCCAGCCACATTGTCCCCAAAATACTCTTGCTTTCTTGTGGTATCATACTCAGTTGGTATGTGCTGGCTCCTCCTCACCCACACTCATAGCCAGGGATGTGGTCTGGTCAGCACTGCTAGGCCTGACTTCCAGAAACATCAGGGGGTCCTTCAATCTTCCCTCATTCAGCTATCTGTTGTTTTTTATATGAAATTTTGTGAGGTAAAAGCTTATAAGGTGAAAGTTCCTAAGGTGAAATTTCTTGAGGCTATGGGTGATGTGAAAGTTGAAGATAAAACTTCTTAAGGCCTAGTGTGATTCCCTCAGGGCTTTCTGTGTGTTGATTCAGTGGAGCTGGTCTAGAGCTGTTTCCACTTCACTCAGACCAAACCTCAGGCTCTAGCATTTTCCCTAAGTTTTCTCAAGATGTCTTAGGAGGACAACTGCTTTATCCCTTTATTTGTACTGCTCTGTATTCATTTCTTATGATGTTCTGTCTGTTTGTGGAGGAAATCTGGAAAACCTGGAAATTTCTGAAATACTCTGTCATCTTCCTAGAATATGTCATAACAGTAGCACCCTCTGACCATGATCAGAATACAGGCAATGAAATATAGATATCTGAATTTGACTACAGATAATTCATATTGAAAATTTTGTTGATATCTTATTTTTTTTTTCCTAAGCAACTCAGAGAGGTAACAGGGGCACAGTACTGAGATGTATGTTCCATTTCATCTTTGGCACCAGAGAGAAGAAAAAAAAAGATGGAATTAGGAATTGTAGAGGTGTCTGGCAAGCCATGAGACTACTGTAGCCTCGTGGTTGTCTGCTTCAGACCCTTCTTTTACTACCGGGAATATAGATTATGCTTGTTTGAAGTTACCTGTCTCTCTAAGAGAACTTAGAGATACATCCACCAAATTTATCGCCTTCATCCATTCCTCTTACTTTTGGTTTATCAGGAGTCCATTTCAATTGTTCTTTTGTTGTATAATAATTATTCTATTATTAATTTTCTCATCTTTTTTGTAATGTTAAGTAATATCAATCAAATAAATTCCTAAATTGCATAATAGATTCTCCTGGGTACTTAGCTATGACACAAGTTACTTGCCTTGTCCATGTGAGTCCATCTAAACCTTTTAGAGCACTTCTTACAAATATAACCTGAGCTCTAATGTCCATACTTTTCTGCCACTTTTTTTTTGGGCAATTGGGGTTAAGTGATTTGCCCAGGGTCACACAGCTAGTAAGTGTCAAGTGTTTAGTCTAAGGTTGGATTTGAACTCACGTCCTCCTGATTTCAGGGCCAGTGCTCTACCCACTGTACCAGCTAGCTGCCCTTTCTGCCATTTCTTAAAGGAATGGTATTCAAATCAGCAGTAGCATTGCAATAAGCAAGTATGTTTTAATTTATTGCCTAAGGGCTTCACTAACAAAACCTGTGATTCCTCACAACAAATTCACCTTATATGTGATATCACTCCTTTTTAGTGTATAAAATCTTGGAGGACAGAGACTATTTAAAAGAAGAAAAAGCATAGTACTATTCCATATCACAGCCTCTGGCAGAGAGTAGGCACTTAATCCATTTTTTTTATTCATTCAAGTGATTGTCTTAGAAGGATGTCAAATTGCTGAGAGCTTAAGAAATAAAACAGAATAAATTTGGAAGCTATGGTATGTAGTAGAAAGAGTGCTCCTTAAGAGTCAAAACATTTGAGTCCAAATCCTACTTCTCTCATTTCCTGCGTAACCATGTATAAGTTTTTTAACGTCTCCCAGCTTAACTGGAGAAAATACTACAGGGATATACACAACAATCACAACATGCCTTTATTAAGTAAATTCACGGGTTCTTTCTGAAAAGTGTGTTATTTTTGATTCCACTGCTAAGCATGTAACCAAGGAGATTATTGCCAAAAAGGAAGCCTCTGTATACAACAAAATATGTATAGCAACACTTTTTTTCAATAGTAAAGACATGGACGGAAAGTTAATGTCATCATTTGGGGAATGGAGTAAAAATTGGGGTACATGAATGTTGTTGTGTTGTAAGAAATAAGGGGAGTCAGTTGGTGGCACAGTAGAGACAGCACCAGCCCTGGAGTCAGGAGGACCTGGGTTCAAATCCGGCCTCAGACACTTGATACTTACTAGCTGTGTGACCCTAGGCAAGTCACTTAACCCCACTGACTAGCAAAAAAGCAAGAAGAAAAAAAGAAAAAAGAAATGAGCATGCCAAATACAGGGAAGCAGGGAAACACATGAATGGATGGAAAGGGAAGGAAAGTAAACAGAGGTAAAAAAAAAAAAGAGCTAATAACAATGACATTGAAAAAATAGCAATAATAGTAATAATAGTGTGCAAGTGCAGAACAATATTAGTGGAAAGAATAAAAACTAAAAACAACTAAAGGTTAATATTGTGGACTTATAAAGAATAATTTGGTCCTATAAAGACATCTCACTCCTTTGTAGAGGTGGAGATGATAGAAATTCACCTATGTGAAGCATTATATTATATAAAATATCTGTCTTAAAGACTGTAACACTTGCCAAATGCTAGTCTATCCAATAAGTAGGGAGCTATTATTTAGGAATAATTAATTGCCTGTTTGATGGATTTTGACAACAGATTCTATGACAGTAGCTCAATCAGGAAGCATATTATCATGACAAATAATTTTAGTGAGTAAAATTTTTGATATTCATTAATTTCCTGAGGGTTTCTGTTATATCTTTGTTTCTCAAACCGTAAATTAATGGATTTAGCATGGGGATTACCACAGTATAAAAAACTGAGGTTACTCTAACTATGAGCCATGAGCTTTTGGAATTAGGAACACAGTAGAGGAAGAGAATAGTTCCATAGAAGATAGTAACAGCTGTCAGATGGGAGGCACAGGTGGAGAAAGCCTTATGTCTCCTGCTTGCTGAATTCATTCTCAAAATGGTGACAAAAATACAAATATAGGATGTAAGGATAATGAAGAGACTGCAAAGTGCATTAAAGTTAGCAACAATAAAAAGTATTATTTCACTAAAGTGTTTATCAGAGCAGGAGGCTGAGAGGATGACAGAATACTCACAGAGAAAATTATTAATAACCTTAGTCCCCAAAATGATAATACAATGAGAGAATAGGTGAATATTAGAGAAGAAATTGTGCCCCATGAATATGCTACAGCCACCAGAAGGGCAGAAAGTTTCTGTGACATGGAAACAGAGTAAAGCAGGGGTTTGTAAATGGTGATGAAACGATCGTAGGCCATCACTGCCAGTAGGAATGTCTCTGTCACCACAAAGGTAGCAGTAAAAAAGAACTGTGTGATGCAAGCCTCGATGGAGATAGTTCTGTCTTCCACAATTAGGTTTTCTAACAGTTTAGGTGTGACTGCAGTGGAGTAACAGAAATCCACAAAGGATAAGTGGCTGAGGAAGAAGTATATGGGGGTGTGGAGCTTGGGGCTGATCCTGATGATCACGATCATGCCCAGATTCCCCACTGCGGTGACCACATAGATGGTCAAGAACACTAGAAAGAGGGAGACTTGGAGGTCCGGATAGTCGGAGAATCCTAAAAGGATGAATATGACTGAAGCACTCTGACTCTTGTCACTGGTTCTCATGGCCTCTCTGGAAAAGAATTCAAAATAGATTCTGAGAAGGGTAAAAAGAAATAAAATGAGTTACTCAGGTAGTGTAGGGAATGAAATCCCAAATTGAGGAAAATGTATTATTAACTTACATTTTGGAAGTAACATTGGTTATTTTAAAAACAAAATATTATTGTAAATGATATTATCATTTTGAGAAAAATTAAACATAACAGGAAGAGAATAAGAGAGAAGAGGAGAGAGAGAGCGAGAGAGAGAGAGAGAGAGAGAGAGAGCGAGAGAGAGAGAGACAGAGACAGAGACACAGAGAGAGAGAATTAAATTTGATTCAGAGACAGAGGTCATCTAGCCCACCATTTTCCATGATCATTGGCAGGTCATTATCTAACCATTGCTTAAAACTTCAAGTAAGGAGGAAGTCACTACTTCTTGCTGCCGCATTTTTCATTTATCAGTAGATTTCATTATCAGTCATGTGATGTCAGGAGGATCTGAGTTCAGGTGTTGTCTCTGATATATACTAGTTGTTTGACTCTGAGTAAATCATTTTATCTCTTAGTGCCTCAAATAATACTCTAAGACTAAACTCTAGCAGAGTTCAAGATCTGTGTGGGTAGCAGTTTGTTCAGAAGGAGCAAACTCTTTTACCAACATCTCTGCATAAGATAAATTCAAAGATCTGAACAAAAAAAAGCAATGCATTAGGAGAAAATATTTCCTCATATATCCATAAATGTCTTTTTTAACCACTGGACCATATTCTGCACGCTAAGAGAAAGAAGAGCTACAGTGTACATTTTTGCACATTAAACCTCTTCCTGAATTCCTGAAGTGGGAAATCTAATACCTCCACCCTGTAGTGTCATTCCCTTAAGGGGAGGAAAAAAGGAAAGCTCACATTGAGAGAGATTTGTCTTTGCATCAGTGAAATTTGCACTTAGCTTTTGGGGACTGCAGTAGAAGGAACCCAATGAGGGATGAACCTGTGCTCAAATTGGCAAGAGTCTTCCAAAGTTAGCTTGAGCGAGACCCACCAGTCTGCTGCTCCCCCTTCATCTTCATGCTATGTTGCCTTCTTTTAATTCACACACTCCCTTTTGACACCTCTAGCTTTGGGAACAGTAATGAAGTAAACTTTGCCATTTCTAGAAAGTTCATCTCGATCAATTGCTCTATAGATCTACTCACCATCTTTATGCCTCCCAAATTCAAAATACTCCTACCTGCTCATCACAACCTTATAAATATCATCTTTCATTATGAGAATGATAACTCTGTTAAGCCAAAGAGTCCTTACTGTGTGAGTGTGTGTTTGTTTTAAAATTTGTATCTTCAGTGGATATTTATTTGTATTAGCACAGTGACACATGACAAAGAGTAAACACATTTAAAAAAATCATTCCTATGCATATCCTTAATGTAATGAACAACAATAACAGACAAAACCATGAGAAAAATACTATATAACAGCAGAATTGTGAACTACACAATGTCTGCCTTTGGTACCCACCCTCATGTACTTTCTTTCCTCTTGATGCTCTGTGTTACCCTTTTATCACCATTTTTCTTAAGTTGACCAAGGTGTCTCCAGTCTATTTAAAACTTATTCAGCAAGACACTAGCATTAATGAGTTAATAATTAACTATTGCACCAACAGCACCTAGTACTACCAGAAATTTTAGGAATAGAAGATTTATTGAAATGAGTAGAACAGAATGAGGTACAATAAGAAAGGGGGGCACAGAAGAGAGCTTGCAATTTTTTTAAAACTTGTGTTATGGTATACGGAACATAGTCTTTGGAGTGAGAAAGTTTAAGTTCACTTCCCAAGTATTCCATCTACTAACTATGTGACCTTAGAACAGTCATTGAAACTTTTTTGCCTTTATTTTCTTCATTTGAAAAATAACAGATTAAATTAGAAAAAAAAATATGTGTAAGTTCCTTTCCCTTCCTGTTATTTTATAGTCTGTGTTCTAAGGTCCCTTCCAGATGTATATTCAATAATGTTATTATTTCAGTTCTTTAAAAATACTAGAAAAGCAGCACCAACAGAAATAGAAAAAGTCCTTGAAGGAAAATCCTAAATCAAACTATCCATAGGGCTTTCTTTAGAGCTATTATCAACAGTGAAGAGACAAGAAAAAAAAAACATCACAAAAGCATTAAAAGGAAACAAACAAACAAAAATATTTCATTATGTGGGACTTGGATTCTGATGTGAGCATTTTCTCCTTCCCTGCTAAAAATCATTTATGTCAAACCCTTTACATCACACCAGGAAGTAATAACCTTGTATCAAAGAGAGGTGATCAAGTGTTTATTTTATAAACTTCCTTGGAAAGAACATTTCAATATAATTCCCTTCTACTTACCATGATGCTGAGACAATTAAAAATACTTTTGAACTTGGCTTACATCCTTCCTAATTTCTCTATATTCTCTTAAACTTCTAACAATAATCTTTTCAGCAACCTGCCTGATATTGTGTGCTTTCAAAATTCTCAGCAATGAGTGATAACTTTGTAATAGGTTAATATGTGGACATAGGGACATTCTCCATGAGATTATCACAGAAGTCCATAACCTGGAGGCTTAGAGAATTGTTTCAGGGTTCCTTTGTCCACTGACTTCTTCAGAGTTTCTCATTAAACGCTTTAGAGACAGAATTTCAACATAGATCTTCCAGACTCCAAATATAACTGTCTCCCCACTATACTGAGCTACTTTCCCCTGCTTTATGACAAATGCACACAAAAGTAAAGGGATAAAGTATCAAGGAGAGATTGGGGGGATGGTAGCTAGTTCATGGCCAGACAGCAAATCGTTAATCCTTGTTCAGTAATTTTTTTTCTTACTTCTTTCCACTCTCTGCATTTTTGATGACTTCAGCAGGATGTGTAAGTTCCATGTTGTTGTTCAGTCATCCAGTCACGTTCTACTTTTTGTATCTCCATGACCAGAGCATTCCTGGCCTTTTAGCCTCCACCATCTGGCGAAGTCTGACCAAGCTGATGTTCATTGCTTCGATGTCACTCTCTACTCTATGGTCTTAGAATAGCACTATGGGATGATAGGTTCAGCTTTAGTGTCCGTAGGATCAACGAATCAGAGAAGTACAGCTGGAATGTACCTTAGAGACCACTTAGTTCACCCCCTTATTTGAAAGATGAAGAATTTTAAAATGATAGAAGTGAAATGACTGAGTAGGTAAAGAAAGGGGCAGTGAGTAATAGAGTAAAAAGAGGACTGGATTCGAAGCTAGAGGACTTGCCTTGAAATCCTGACTTTATCACATTATTTGTGTGTCCTGGGGGAATTCATTTAACAGCTCTAGATGTGCTTTTTCTAGTCCAAAAACGAGAGCCTTTGTGCACTCTAACATTACTTTTGAATCTAAATGTATCATCTCATGAATAAACTAGCAGAGCTAAAGTTCAGATCCTCTAGACCCAAATCCCATGTTCTTTCAACTATGTGATATTTCACTGTCCCTTATCTACTAAGGGAATAGATCTGTTTCACATAAAATTGCAAATCAAATTCCATTAACTATTCTTTATGAACTCCTCAGATTTTACCTTGTCTTATCTTTTCTCTTTATTTTTTTCCAAAATGAGGGGGTTTAACAGGGGATAGCTCGTAATTTCACTTACAACTGTAGATCACAGGTGCTATGATCCTTGGGACACTAAGGCTTCAATGGCTTAATCTATGATTTTATCATCTCATGGATTGTAACCTCCCAATTACATCTCTACAGAGAACGTGGTTTCATCCAAAACTTACTTTTAATACTTTATGTCATCAACAAAATGTACTTTCCTGTCTTCTTGCATTTGCTGTCTCCATGTTCCTTGCCTTACCATCTTAATTTTTTTCTCTATTTCTCTAAGTCTTAACCCTTTTGCAAAGATAGCTCAGATCTCTCCTATTTGCAAAGCCTTCCAGTACAGCTCCCTGCCAATTTATTCCTCTCTTCTCTCAATACCTGATGCCTGTTTTCTGTTTGGGATATTCAGTGGTTCCTTTGTGTTTGCTCTTGGTATCCAAAGCAGAACTGATATTTAAATTTCCATGTCCCACCTGCTCCTTAGATTGTGAGACTACCCAAGATCATATAGTCTGATTGTGCCTTTTTTCTCCCTAGGTAATAAAAAATGACCAATAAAAGGAAAGAGGAAAAGGATAATTAAGAGGGTGAAGGTAATTTGTAAGGGATATAATAAGAAGAAAGAGGAGGAGGAAATTGCCTTGGCGATTTTCTCCTCTGCTTGCTTTCTGTCTTAAATTACAGATGACTTGTGGGAAGGAAGTGAGGGGGGGGGTCAGGGTGAGGCAGAGGAACATCTTTCCCTTCTGGTCTGATGTGAGAAAGGAGTTCAATTCAAAGTATATCTACTCACCAGAAAATTGACTATTGACTCGATTATCCCTAAATCGGCTGTGTTGTGATTAATGAGCCTGATGTCACATTGAAAGATGACAAGGTGATTTGAGAATAGACGAGGAGCCAGAAGACATGAGTTGGCTTTCCAGAACAACCACTTATTAGTAGTATTGCTTAAGAATGTTTTTCTGCTTCCATGCATCAAAGGAGGAGTCTGGATATTATAATAGAAAAAGTCCCTTTCAGCCCTGGGATACTTTGATGCTCTAATTCCAAGATTCTGCCTCTATTGTTCTATACTGTTTTTTTTTTTTAAAGTAATAGGCTAGCAAGAGAAGCCCAGAGTACACTAATATAGACAATTAAATACTTTTCCCTTATCCTGGTGAGGCAATCATTTCAGGCTAATTCATAGAGTGGACAGAAAGCTAGAGAAAGTTTATGCTGTTTTGACAGGAAGTTTAGTCTAGGCAGCATGCTATGGATCATATATGTGGTGGTAGAACCTTTGGGACCTAAAATCTAGAGAATCTCCACTGACCTCTTCTCTGGGAACAACACAGCACATCATTAGATGCAGCTCTGAGTCTCCAGTGTCCCTTTTACAGAATTCATTTTCTT